AAATAGCGTTTTTCAATAGCTTTAATTTGATATATAGCCCAACGTTCAGTGTTGAGTATTTCTGCTCATAACTCAGAAAAACTAAAATGCACTGGCTTCAATTTCCCCCCCTGAGTTAGCCTTCCAGTTTATTTATAGTTCAATGACATAGCCCTGGTAAACGCTGGTCACGTGTCAGGCAAATACTCCAAGATTCTTGGAGTATTAGCCTGCGAGCGGGCTTTGTGGAAATAAAGACAGGGGGGCGTCGAAAAGTTCACGAATGGAACTTGAATTGCCGCGGATTATTTATATTCTTTTATTTTTTGTTGTAATCTTTCTTCTTAATATGTTACGTTTATATATTACGTCGAATGTACATCTTCTTTTATGTAAATCGCCGAGGAGGCGATGTTTCGAATTTCGAAGCAGTGAAAATGGAGTATGGCACGCCGATTGTTGCAATATTCAATGTAATATATTTGTTCAATTTAATCGCAATATTCATTCAATTTAATTGTTATATTTTCATTCAATTTAATATTTTTTATATTTATTCAATTTAATATTAAAATATTCAATTTAATATTAAAATATTCATTCAATTTAATATTAAAATATTCATTCAATTTAATATTAAAATATTCATTCAATTTAATTGTCATATTTTCATTCAATTTAATATTTTTTATATTTATTCAATTTAATATTAAAATATTCATTCAATTTAATAAATATTTATTCAATTTTAAACTTTAACATATTCAATTTAATGTTTGTATATGCATTCAATTTAATTTCAATATCCATTTAATAAATCCTAAATTCATTCAATCTCGGGAGACTGGGGCGAGCAGTTTACCAGTTTTGACAAACACGGCGGATGAAGAAGTCTTTAATGTTGAAAATGACCTGCCAATGTTTTTAGAGTCCGTTTTAGACAACGTAGAATCTATTTTTCAAAGTGATGTTGACCTAGAAGTCGCCGAATCCCATGCTGAAGTTATTGATCAAAGTATTCGTTTGATTAGATCAATAAGTGAGTGCGCCGATGTCGAGACTCAAGACAAGATGAATCTGAATACACTTGCCACCGTTTTTACTGATGTACTATCGCTGTTACACCATCGAAATGCCATAAGATCTCCAACTACGGTTTATGAGATCAAAATTGAGGTAGCAACTGAGGCAAATGGTTGTCCTGGAAGACCACGTTTTGTTATCCGTGCTGAAATGCTTGAAGAGCTTCGAGAACTTGGATTTAGTTGGACTAAGATAGGAGAAATTTTGGGGGTGTCTAGGTGGACAATTCATAGACGGGTAGCAGAGTATGGTTTGGAAAATATGACTGGATTTCATCACTTGCCTGACGAAGAACTTGATGAAAAAGTCAAAGAATTTATTTTAAATCATGGCTGCACAACTGGACAGTGTTATGTCGAAGGTTACCTGAAGTCAGTTGGCTTAAGAATTCAAAGAAAAAGAATAAGAGAAAGTATGGCAAGAGTTGACCCACACAACACTGCATTGCGTTGGGGTATTGTTATTTCTCGCAGGCAATATCAAGTTCCTTGGCCAAATTCCCTATGGCACCTGGATGGCCATCATTCTTTGATTAGATGGAAGATGGTTATTCACGGTTGCATAGATGGTTATTCCAGACGAATAATGTTTTTAAGATGTAGTGCAAACAATCTTGCAGAAACTGTTCTTGAACTGTTTTTGGATGCCGTAAAAATGGATGGGAACTTATGGCCCTCACGCATCAGGGTTGACAAGGGTGTTGAAAATGTGCTAGTATGCGATGCCATGGTACAAGCTAGGGGAGAAGGAAGAGGAAGCTTCATTGCTGGACCTTCAACTCACAACCAGCGCATCGAACGACTGTGGAGGGATGTTTTTCGATGTGTATGCCATCTTTACTATTATATCTTCTATGCTATGGAGTCTACTGGTATCCTTGACGCAAATAATCCTGTTCATCTTTTCACGCTGCACTTAATTTTTATTCCCAGGATCAACAAGGCCCTTGATGAGTTTAGAGAAGCATTTAACCACCACAAGGTACGCACAGAAAGAAACTGTTCCCCAAACCAAATGTGGATAAATGGAATGTTTCATCCTGATAATCCACTGGCGCATGCAGAGCTAGATGAAGAGCCATATGATTTGGAAATGTATGGACATGACCCCCATGGACCATCTTCAGTTGGAAGTGACAACAATGTAATTGTTGAAGCAGTCCACCTGCCGCATGATAACTTGCTAACATCATTTATTCTTGAAACAATCGATCCCTTGCAACAATCTCATGAAATGGGGGTAGACATTTATACTGAAGCCTTAGAAATGGTAGTACTAAAGATTGATGAACTAACAAACTCTTAGTGAACATTTTGGTACATGAGAAGATACTGACTCACATCTAATGTTTTTGAGCTTTTCTCACTAAAGCCTGGTTTCCATTTAATTTATTTATTATTTATTTAATATTTTGATTAAATCGTAATTATCACAAGAACCGCATCGCAACGATTTTAAAAACGCGAAATTTTTAATAAAAACTGCGATTTATTGGAAACTTGAGTCACGCCGATAACTACTGTAAGACTCTTATATGACAAAGTCGCAAAGATTGATTTTTGCGATAGCGATGTCTGCGTTCCGCGACTATTGCGATGATTACGATTTAATGGAAACCAAACTTAAGAGAATTTGGTTATAACATAAATTACAGTATTACAAAGGAAGGTGGTGTAAAATTGAGTAAATAGCACATACTTTTATGTCTAAATATTTGCGACGCTGCCTAATGGTGCCCAATGGTCATTTTTAGCAAATTTTCTCCCACTTCTGCAGGCTTAATTTGTCAGTTCCGGAGTTTACAGTAGATACAAAATTACCAGCACTGGATAACATACAGACCTTGAAATATTTAACTAGAAGTCCAATAAAAAGTGTGCCTGCTCCAGTTGGAGTAAATTTGCCTACGGTAACACTGTATGACCAGTGTGGGTTTTCTTTTGCACTGTCTTCACCATCAAGCCTCGCATTGATACAATATGTCCTCTTTACACCAAACTAAAGTTTGAGAGTGACAAAGGGCGAGGGGAATGTGTGTGTGTGGATTTAACATATTATCCCAGATAAAGTTAAACATGTTCAGGAAAACTCAAAATTGTGTTTTGGAACATTCAAGCGAAGAAATTTGAACATTCAGTAAAATTAACAATCACAGTATACTAAATGAACTTTCTAACAAAAACAATTAAAAGTAACACAACATGTCGTAAAGACTATCATTACCCATCACATGCAAGCTACCGTAACACTACTGTACTGGTCTTTGTTCCCCTGTTTCTTAAAAACTGAAACATATTTTTGTTATGAATAGAGATAACTCCAATATCATCGCTAATAAAGATGACTAGTATTTTCTCCTAAACTTGAAAAACATATTGAATGCTTTGTTTTTCATTTCTATCTAATACCAAAGTGAGTGTTCTTGAATGCCATATCATACAATTGGAACAGGTCTTCTTCAGAGGGAAGAGGAAGAACCATGCTTTCTGTTGGCAATTGCAATGTGTTTGGACATGTATGGGCTGTTGGTGTGAAATACCACATTTTCTTCTTTTCATTAAGTTGCTGTACTTCTTCTGACACTTGGTTGCTCTATAAATCAAAGAACATTCATATGTTCTTTAAACCATAAATTCAAATGTGGGTGTTAAAGGTCTATATAGGATCAAAAGCTGTTAATTAAAACCCTGTTTCTACTTGCAAGTTTGGGACTACCTTGGAGACCTACTGTAGAATCCACACATTATCCCCAACTATTCTCCCTGGTTAATTAGATGTATTAGTTTGTTGAATACAGAAAAAAACATCAAATCATGAGCCCTTCTCTGCCATATATAAGCCTGTTGTACCTTCAGCATTTTACCTCTATGGTACAGTATGTTTGAAACGACAGCAATGTAAATGATCTGTGATCATCCTTCCCAACAATACATGGATGCTTTGTAATATCAATTTGAACCAGTACCGTGCTTGATTGGGAAATGCTAAATGTTATTAGTATAAATTCAGTATTGAAAAATGGCTTTCAAGCATTCTGATTGCTGCTCAGACCGCTCTGAGCAGTAAACTATTGCTGTCGAAAATCCACAGTTTGCAAACAAATCATGGAAAGAATTGAAGAAATTAAAGGTGAAGTAAATCTTATTTATAAACGTTTGTATATATTATTATCTTTCAATACTGAATTTATACTAAAACAATGAGTCACCTCAGGCTTGGTGATCACAACACTATATTCACTTCGCAGCTCAGAGAATATAGGCTTGTAATCACCTCGCCTTTGGTGAATATTTGGTTAATTGTAAAATAGCAATTTAGTATAACAATATGATAACTAAATGGTGAAAAATTATACAAATAATAAAATGCTTACCTCATTTTCTGTTGTAGTCAACTCTTTGTTGTCAACTTCTACGAATTGGATGTTGGGGGATCTTGTAAAACCAAGGGGTGGTTCTTCACTAGCTCCAGTGGCAAATTCTAGAATGTTTTCCAGAGTAACAACCCTTCGGCCACTGGACACCTCCCTTGTGTATTTTACAAATTTTGTATACACAGCTTTCTCACGAGACAGAGCGTTGGACCCTTCCTCAGAAAATGCTGGTTTCAGCAGGAATAGAAGCCTGCGAACTGATAACTTGGCAATGGCTGATGGCCTGAGAAGGTACAACAACTGGGGAAATTTTCTTCCAAATGCTGGAATCCCCAATGTATCCATACCACGCTTTAGCTCCATGATGCAAGGAGACAACTGCTCACATTTCCTCACAAATATGGCCTGCAAAATATCTTCAGGGATGTAGACAGGCAACTGGCCATTTTGTAGAAGAGCAATGCTAATCATTTGTCCAACATAGAAGTAATCTTCCGACAAATGCTCTTTGATACCATTATCAAAATATTTGATCTTGATTTGTTGATTGCAAAGTCGCATCCACTCTCTACGTGGACCACCACTGTCAACAGCTTGTTCCGCATAAAACTGGACCTCGAATGTGACTCTGGGATCATCAACAGACTTTAGTTCCTCAAAAGTAGTTTGAAGAATGTTCTCTCTGTCTACAGTTATGAAGTTTGTTTCTCCTTGAAGGTCTGTGGAAGGATCAGTTACCTCCAATGGTCTACCTCTAACAATTTTCTTTTGTAGATATCTAAGGATTTCTGTTGGTTCAGTTATATTTGATGGAAACGCATTTACAACCGTGTCAAAGAACGTGTGAGGACTTTCTACATTTGTGCTTGAACCAGGCTGCTGAGATAGATCTACTGAGATGGGTGGCTGTGCAGCCACAGGTAATTCATCTGCTAGTCCTGACTGGGGCATGTTCTCGTCTTCTGAAAGATGTGCTTCAGTTTTAGCATCATTCTCAGCAGCAGGATATGTCATTACAAAGTCTGATTCAGAATCTGAAGTTTGTTGAATTACAAATTCATATCCCCTTCTAATTCTAACGTACAAAAGCCCTTGTCCTACAAGTTTCTTGACAACGTCGTAATTATACTCTGTTCCTTTACTTAAATGTAGAACCGAGATTTTTTTCTGATTTACTTTTATAAATTCAAAATCATTTTGACCAATCATGCCATACTTGCCTTTAAGCGATGAAAGAAGTTTTTCTCGAATAGCAGCTTCGTTATCTTTTTCATTAAGACTCACAATACCTCGATCCAGAATCATGTCCTTCTTCAAGCTGTCATCTGGTTCATCACTGTCGACATCTCCACAAGCAAGCAGGGCAAATTCGAAAGGTTTATCTTTACTACCAGTCGAAGAAGTCGTTTTGCTTTTCTTTTCCTTTGGTCCTGAAGTTGCTCTCAATCTTTCGCTGCTGCTAAGCCGCCTAAACACTCCAGTGGTTCTACTGCTTTGCATCATACTCCTTGCTCTTGCGAGGGTCTCGTTTACTGATCTTCCCTGTGGTCTTACTGTCGGACGTTCAGACTCTGCCTCTGGGCTTCGCACTAAAGCTGGAGATGAAGAAGTTCCTGGATCTACTGACAGTAACATACTCGAAGCCTGTCGCAGCAGTTCTGCCGCATCTGATATTCTTTTGTCCATCGTTAAATCTGTTTTAAAATACCTTTTACACACTGTTGTCGCTCTAAAACATTCGCATACGCGAACCAAACATGGCGGGATGCAAAAGCGCGGGAAATTGACATATATGGTCAACCCACTGAGCTATACTATATTACTGGAGGACCTGCTCGGGGAAAAAAAGTGTCGCCAAAAACATGGCGGATCTTACGCCATTTCCATGACAACACTTCCGAAATTTTCATGGTAATTGCCACTGACCAACCGCGATCCTAAGCTTTCGACGATGTCCTTAACCCCCCTGGATTTTGGACAGTAATATTAAAGATATTTCAAGTTTTCTGTTGTTTTTGAGCTAAAAGATCTTAATATTTTCCTCCAACATTACTTGTTTTACAACGCGGAGCGAGGGTGCGGGTTTGCTTCGCTTGTGGATGCAGCATTTCACTACAAAGAAAGACTAATTCTTTCAGGTAAGATTCACGAAACTTTTTTATAACTTTCTAGAGTCACTAGACCCTTCGATTATGTTATGTCAAAAACTCATCATCCTAATATATACAGCAAATATTTCATTAGGGGACATAAAAGTATTGTTAACGACCAAACATTGTGTACGTGAAATTATGTTGTTTTGTGTTAGCACTGGCCTTTGTGGTTTTATTGCCAGTTTTTAATTTATACTAAAAATTGTGGTTGTTTACATGTTCATATATTTTAAAACGTTTATTAAATATGGTGTGAAATTTATATACCTGCCCATCACAGTGCAGAATTAGTATATATAGATAAGCACAAGACCAGAGAGAGTTGAGCCGTAGAGGAGGCTCGCCTACATGTGACAATCCATGTGCCCTGTCCTGATGAGCCCTAAAGACTGTCTTTATTATTTTATTCTGTCTAATGCCAGACGATCTTAAGGGGATTGGGACTAAACGAGACTGCTCCCTGCTGTCACACAGTGGGTTAATTACACTATCGGCAAATAAAGAGCCCCTGAGATATATAGTCAGCTCAATATTAAACTGCAAATGAACCCTGGCTACCTTCTTATTTTACTCAATCTGTGAGATTAAATCCAGATGTTTTACTCATCAAGGGAAGAGTCTTAAAAATAGATATCATTTTGCACCATTGTCTGTTTACAACTATGTAAAACTACTATATAGTTTTACACAGCTTGTTGGCAACAAAAATGTTGCCCACAAGCTGCCGGAATTTACGTGAGTCACTGATACACTAATCATGAAGTAAATTTGGAATGCTACAACATTTCTAACAAGGGCAGATTTTCATTTATTTAAAAGGAGGGGTAGAAGAATTTCTGGTGGCCAGGTGCAAGCAGCACCACTCAGTGAGCTTTGGCAGGGGTTAGGTGTTTGGGTTAAAGCCTTTCACACAAAACGGGAGGGTTGAAGCAGAATTTTGGTGGGGTTGAACACTCTATTAGAGGGGTTTAACCCCCCCCCCCCAAGTAAAAGCACCCATGATTTCTAACATTGGGAGTAGTGATGTCCAATTGGCCATGACACAGCTGTGAGAAATTATGATGATGACATATTTTAGTTAGGAATGTAATTGCATTGCTGAATACTGAAACATGACATTTAATTTTGAAGCTCGGATCAATGGTCTTGGTAAAAACAGATCATGTAATTGCACCCTTGACTAGTAAAATTGTCTGGCGTTAGGTACATTAAAATAACACAGTAAGGCATATCAAGACACATTGCCACTTGTGAAGGGTTAACATATGTGTATATGATATTTTTGTGATGTATTAAAGATGTATAATGTATCATCAATGATAATAATGTCATCTTTTATTTTGCAGAAATTATATGTTTAATGTACACAAGAGATGGCACTGAGGCATGAACATGCAGAAAAACATGCAGAACAAAATTAATTAATTATAATACCATGCATAACAACATAAATAATTATATGATTATGATAACTTTATTGAAGTGTAAATAAGTTTTATAGCAATTAAAATGATACATTTTTGTTTTTTTAAATTGTTTACTGCTAATAATTTTTCAAAAAAGTCAAATACACCCTTCTGGAATGTATTTCACCTTGTCACAGGAGCCTCATTTTCATGTATGTGGCATGAGTTAAAGTCCAATGTCTCAATTGTGAAAATGAGACTCTATATATAGCTAAGGTGACATAATTTCTGGGAGCATGTATTAACCCATCAAGCGCCAGCGCTCTCCCCTTGACGAGTAAAATCGTCTGGCGTTAGACAGAGTAAAATACTCTGGCGTTAGACAGAGTAAAATACTAAAGTAGGGTGCATCAGGGTGCAATGCCATTCAATGGGTTAACTAGACACATAGGCAGATAGGCCAGTTAACCCATTAAGGTTCAGCGCTCTCCTCTTGACGAGTAAAATCGTCTGGCGTTAGACAGAGTAAAATACTAAAGTAGGGTGCATATCAGGGTGCAATGCCACTCAATGGGTTAAAATACAGTATGTTCAGTTTCCAAAGATATGCGTGGCTTGGTACTGTATAACTTGCCATCCAGAAAGGAATGTATCATTGTGAGATAAATCTGCAATAAACAAGAGTAGACAAATTATGTAGGGTGTACAAAAATCCACCAGTAACATAATTAGCATATGAGCAAGGTAAACAAAAGAATGTGACCTAACTTCTTAGCTTAAACCAGGGGTATCAGAACTATGAGTGCACTTATGCACCTATCAATGTTAACCCCCAGAGGGGTGGGGGGTCAGGCATATGTGGGGTATTTGATCATCCATTGTATCCCTACCCTGGGGATTTTGATTAGCACTTTGGCCCTGAGTTGGGGCAATTTGAACCAAATGACTTTTATTAACATAGTATTTCTTGCAATTTATTGCAAAATGGTGGGGCATTTGACCAATATTTATTGCCCAACGGTAGGGCATTTGATTGCCCCACCTATGCCCGACCCCCCCTCCCTCTGTTGCTTAGAGAAAACTTGTAAGAAAATTTGTAAGAAAACAGGCCATCCTGGAAAAGAGGTTTATGTCTGTTTATAAAACGAGACCTCAGGAGTCAACCTTTTAAACATTATTACACTAGATTAAAGACCGTCGTAATCCTCGTATATGTGACTGAATATCGATCAGAGCTTCGTAGTTTGTAACCAAATATTTTGCGATTGTGAACCGTACAGCTTGCTAAAATTAGTAAAATAGTGGAAAATTTTACACTTTACCATGTGTATTGCATAGGAAGTTTTTTTATTAACAAATAGAGTGTCTGTTTCGTCGTTATGCTTATAATTTTCATGTCAAATAAGGTAGTCTAAATATTAAAACTCAAATGAAAATTTGTCTCTTACCCTTGGTAAATCCACATTCAAGCCTCGTCTTTTCCCACATTTCTTGAGGTTTTAAATTTGTTTGTCGTCTTTCACGGGCGAGAATAACATGTACGACTTGCATATCTTTGTCCAAATAATCAAAGGTAGAAAATTTATATCGAAAAAAATTTAAAAACCGATTCAAAACCACGAGAACTATAATATCTGCAAAATTTGTTTTCAAAAACCAGGGGGGGGTGAAAACGGCCGTGGGCTCAGAATTGAGCCTGGTCAGTGGTACCTACCATGAGAATTTCGGAAGTGTTGTCATGGAAATGGCGTCATTTTCACTCAAAATCCGCCATGTTTTTGGCGACACTTTGTTGACTGAACGAAGTATAGGAGCAGGTCCTCCAGTTATTATACAGCTCAGTGGGTCAACCTCGTACCCAGATTTCTTACGGCAAGAAAAGATTGAATGAATTTAGGATTTATTGAATGGATATTGAAATTAAATTGAATGCATATACAAACATTAAATTGAATATGTTAAAGTTTAAAATTGAATAAATATTTATTAAATTGAATGAATATTTTAATATTAAATTGAATGAATATTTTAATATTAAATTGAATGAATATTTTAATATTAAATTGAATAAATATAAAAAATATTAAATTGAATGAAAATATGACAATTAAATTGAATGAATATTTTAATATTAAATTGAATAAATATAAAAAATATTAAATTGAATGAAAATATGACAATTAAATTGAATGAATATTTTAATATTAAATTGAATAAATATAAAAAATATTAAATTGAATGAAAATATGACAATTAAATTGAATGAATATTGCGATTAAATTGAACAAATATATTACATTGAATATTGCAACAATCGGCGTGCCATAATGGAGCCAATCTCGTACCTACTATTTGTGATGATTTCCATCAAGTATAAAAAGGTACAGTATATATGAATTTGAAAATGTTTAGAAGTATTTCATTGTTACAAATTATTTAGCAGATTCCCATTATTTGTTACATTGTCTAGCTCTATGAAATATATATTTCGAAGGCTATTTACTGTAATATATTTTATACAGTATGTTAATATAGTTAGCTGAATTTGTACAATTGTAGTTAAATATTGTGAATATTGAGAAACACATGGCCAGACTATGGCCTATAATACTATACTCGGACCCTCAGTAAAGTTCTACTCTCACATGATTATTATTTACAATATTGATTTATCGCTGTGAGAAACGTGTTTACACTTTAATACAGTATTGTTAAACTACATTTTACAGCAGTATTAACTTCAAATACTTTGTATTTACATTTTACAGTAATGACCTGAAATTATTTAAATGAGCCATTACTGTAATAACAGAGTGGCCAGGTTAACAAAGCTAAAATCTGATGAACCTAACCTGCTAGGATATTTCAATAGTCAAACATCAGTTTCAGCACTCCAGCTGATCAGGGATTTTTTAGGGAAAAGTTTTAGCACCCCATTGTAAAACCTGCCCCCAAATCTCAAAATTTCATTATTTTGTTCCCTTGCCCCTACAATCTATATTTATACCTTTTGTGCCCTTGAGATCTTTAAAAAAAATGCCTAACTCTGCAGTATGATGCGTAACCTTGTTGCCATATTTATTTTCTGACTTCAGACTTCAATAAATTTCTACTCTAATACCTGACAGAGATGGGGGCCATATGTATGAACAATAAGAAATGATTTCTTCATCTATTATTGACCCCTTACCTTTCACCCAATTTTAAAATTAAATTTACTGAATGATTTTGAAGTTTTCTAGATTATTGAAAAGAACTTTATGGGTACAAGAAATGGGGCAAAAACAGTTGAATTAAGCAAGATGCAAGTAACAATGAACAAGACCGGGTCACTGGATGGTATTTCAGCACACTGGTGGACATGCAACCTAATACCTGCAACCTGTGTCACATTTATTTATATAGTTTTACACTGTACTGGAAAAATAATGTCAAGGAACTTGTAGAGATTCAGAATGCACACTTCATGGTTTATTCAATCACCAGCATGCATGCATGAATCATTTTATGTTATGAATATTTTTTTAAAATTATTCTCACTTTATAGATAAAATTATATCAATTTTTAATATCATAAATGAATATATAGTAGCTTTTGATTAAACAAGTTATAATAATATATCAGCAAATAATGACTGGTCTCTCTGAAATCCATATAGAAAGGTTCAAATTTGACTTCCACTACCACTACTTGATCTGGCAGTTGCATCTGATTGTTTGATTGGATAAATGAAACTTATCTGGTTAATAGTTAATGATAGCAATAGCAGTAGTGGAAGTCAAATCTGATCTCTCTATTATTTTTGAAGGTTTGCTCTAGTCACGTCAATTCAGGGTTGCCCATGCAACTTGGTTAGCACAGCTAGCTCTTCAAGTTGGAGGTCCAATTCTTAGGATTCTGCAAATTAATTCTAGAAAACTGGCTTTGGTTTGGGCTAAGCAAGAATCATCACACTGTTTATCATGATGATTTGGTTGTTTAACAGTTAAAGTCCAGGCTGCATGTTTTTTTATCCTGCATATATGGCAGATGGGACAGTCTGGTTTCGAAGTGTTTATGTGGGGAATTAATATTAATCAGGACTGGCTTCTGAGTGAAGGTCTTGCCTGCTTTATGTGAAAGCAGACTCTGTGCGAGATTCCAATTGCTACACAGCATGATCTCAGTGCTCTTCCTCTGAAACAATGCTTGTTTGCGATATCATCCAGCAAGTGCAAAAATGCACTACCACGGTCAAGGATCATTTGGCATGTTCATCGACTATGTTAACCCATTGAGTGGCGCCATGTACTCTCCACCTGCCGAGTAAGATTGTCTGGTGTTAGGCAGAGTAAACTAACAAAGTAGGGTGCATTGGGCCATTCCATTTAATGTATACACCCCCCTATGGACGAGTTCAATAAAATTTGAACCCCTAAGAAGAAAAAAATCAATGTGCCGACACCCCCCCCCCAGAAATTAAGAAATTTTTGCCTTATCCCTCAGAAAAAATGCAAAGATCAAAGGATGCTGATGCACACAACCCCTCAGAAATGGCTTTTTCAATCCCCTCAGAAATTCTAGTCCATAGGGGGGGGTGGGTGTATATCAAATGGATGGCCCATTGCCACTTAAAGGGTTAAAAACGTAAATACCACAGCACAACACTTGTACATATACATATACAAGTAATACAACAGCAATCCTTTTATATATTTAATAGTCATATTTACATATTGGTGAAATGTCAATCAGGGGCGGATCTAGGATTTTTCGTACGTTAGTCAAAAATTGCGTTGCTGAACATTGGGGGAGGTGGGTACTTTTGACTGGGGGAGGTACTTTTGGCGGCGGAGGGGGGCGGGGGGGGGGGTTGCCAAGCAAATTAATATTTTTTATATGTGTTCTGTTTACGAAAAAATGTAACTTAAAAAATTGCTTTTTCGCCCAATGTCAAACAGATATCCAATTCTCATCGAGAAATAGATTGACAAGGATGACTTGACATTTTAAAAATTGTTATTTCATCGCATATTATTTGCTTTGACATGGATGGTTAAAACATTTTGCAATATAGTGATGCAATATAGGAAGAGAATTTCCACGTTTAATTCACTGCTCCTCGAGTTTCATTCGTAGCAGAAACATACGCCAATGGCGTATGTTTCGCCCATGAATAAGTATTCACAAAGGCAACATGATCCATTTTACTTGTTGTGTACATGATGTAGAGATCGTATTACACAAGGCCATGCTACATTGTCGTGTTCTTGTAGTTTAAAATGACTAAAATAGGCTAGGTATAAATAACACAGTGTTATTAAGTAGCTATCTGATTAATATATAAAGTCCACATGTCACAAGAAGCATAAACAAAGTATAAACACACTGAAACTGCCTGTATTAAGCCGCAGTACTATTTAGGTAAATTGACGGAAATATTATGTATTATTATACGTCTTATAACGCGTACCCGCCGATATTATAGCATGTGCGTACAGACGCACAATCCACCACAGTATACAACAGTTATAATGCTATATCTAGTTAAAATGAATATATATCTTAATTTAAGGCCGTACAAAAGATTTTTGTCTTCTCCCGAACGTACTTCAGGATGTAAGATTCCGCACCAAAATTTCGTGCGAGGAAGGCTGCTTAATATGTCGAGGCTTATGTTATTCACAACGCTCACTAAATCTTTAATAGAAAGCTTCGGTACACTGTTACTCGCTTGTTTAAATCAGCTTCAATATCTTTGACATTTTGTCGATCGTCCTTCTCTAAAGCAGCCTTTACGGTTTCGTAAATACTAACAGACATGGCTAGTATTAGTTCAGAATTTCTGATAGTAAATCTTCCCATTGAACTTTAATAATTTGCGGTCAAGCACAAAGTAGCGATCAGAAAGGGCCAGAAACGTCATAGAGCTTTCCGTGCACTAATAAAGCCTGAACGGTATGATCGATCAAAAATATCCAGCCAATGGGAATTCAGGATTGTTTTGAATTAGCCAATCGGATAGCCTGTATTCGAGCCCCTGATCGCTTTAGCGATCAGAACTCCCCACAGATCGCGCAAAAATCGAGATAGCCAATCAGATGACTGGAATCTGACTCAAAGCGTGCAAAACTCATGTGTAAGACCGCTTTTCTGCGCGTTCATGTTCGAAGGCCTTGCTACTGAATGATATTTCAAAACTGGACTGTTAAACTTTAAACACATTACACTGCGCGAAGTTTGATAACTGGACTGCTATTTTAATTTAACAATTTTCTATTTTTCTGGCCAATTTTTACCTTAGTCGCGTGATCGCTCTGATCACCCCTAGATCCGCCCCTGAATTGTCAATGTCCATATATTAGGGATGTCCGGATCCATTGTCCATGAACTTGTCCCAAGTTTGAAGCTAATGTATTCATATCTTTTGTATAAGTTGTCCCTCTACAAACCAACTTTTAGTCATTATACAAGAGTTGAATTTGCATTCATTTGCTTCGCAAGTCGCAACAAACTGAACAAAGTACTATTCCATAAACCTGTGCAATGATCGAGCGTCTTTGGCGACATATCCAAGTCTTTTAAACGTCTCATTGGAACAAATCTCACTGAGTTTTTTCTACAGAAAGTATTGATCCATTTGATCGATCGCCGTACTTTGAGAAAAACTTGAAGTGCAAAATTCACAAGGAAGATTGAAGAATTTCGGAGATAAAAACTGTTTGTCTTCGAGTTTCACCTATTCACCCCCCGGTTGAGAAAAGTAACAATTATGTAATGTTGGAGTCACGTGACCACAGGGGGTCCAACTAAGAGCTGTGTTATGAATATGAATAAAACATTAATTAAACGTAATATGAATAAAACATTATAACGTAATATATTTAAATTATTGCACTTACTTGTATAAATCATAAGAGCTTGCCTTTGCACTGAATAGTTTCAAACAGAGCACTTATATATCAATATATATATGCTCAGAATGATTGCTTCGAAAGATTGTTCAAATATGGCGAATAAATTGACAAAACGAAAATATTACATGACGTTCCAACGAAAATAACAGCAGGGATTGCGGGCGCGCGAGCAAAAAGGCGAGGGAAGAAATAAATAGAAGGGATGAAACAAATATCACGTGACTTTTTAAAATGCTTCTAGACTATCCGTTTAAGCTTTTTGTCGGGTTTTTAAGGCTCAGTCGATGTTCTCTTACATGAACAAGCCTAGTCATTACCAAAAAAGCACTGATCAATCTAATTTATGTGATTTATAACAGCGAGCATTCTTGGCCATTATCGCGAGATGTGTTCCATAAGTAGCCTGTTCTCGTGACGTATGACGAAATAATAATAAAACTAAATAATGTAAAAAAAAACGTTGGTCGCTACATTTAAACATTTCATATTAGCCGGTATAGCTAAACATTGTTTATTTTCATTAATTAAGCGCGTAGGCGTTGTTGGAGTTGGCAGGAGGCGTTTTGGAATTTTCCGAGAGAACAGGCTACTTATGGAACACATCACACGATCGCATTACCGGTGTTTCATCCCTTCTATTAATATCTATTACCCTCGCCTTCCGCTCGCGCCCGCAATCCTTTCTGTTATTTTCTTTGGAACGTCATGTAATATTTTCGTTTTGTCAATTTATTCGCCATATTTGAAGTCTTTGGAACGAAGCAAGTTTTTGAAGCTATTCACTGTATTAAAATGCAAGCTCTTATGATTTATACAAGTAAGTGCAATATTACGTTATGATGTTTTATTCATATTACGTTTAATTAATATGTTTTATTCATAACACAGCTGTTAGTTGGACCCCCTGTGCTATAAACTCGGCGGTCACGTGGTAAGCACACCACGTGTAGAGATTAGTGTGCTGCCGAGCGTAGCAGCAATAAAGGCTACATTTACACTATAACGGATAGCTTTCCATAAAGGTACAGAAAAGCATCTATCCAATACGAATGTACAACTTTTAGAAGCTGAGAGAAACAACATCTCTCTATTGCAATAATTCCTCTGTAAATGGTCCTAAAAGGTATGGATAGGTGTTTTTACACATCAGTACAGAAAGCTATCTGGTACAGTGCAAACATAGCCAAAGTTAGTTATTGTATTTCTACAAAATTGACACAAGCAAGGGTGCATCATGACCATACCTAATTCTAATTTGATATGTCCTGTCATCACCATCGTCTTTCACAGATTGGTATACTCTGTTAGTTTTCTTAGCAACCTTCTTTTTCGGACTTCTTGTTTTCTTGGTTGCTATGGTAACTTCATCCATAGGCTCAACTGAGTCACCCTTAGGCAAGAAGTGTTCATCATCTCTAAAGCTAAGCTTTAATTCCTCCTCATCAGGAATATAATCTTCATCACTGTCAACCACACGAATATTTGCTTTGCCATCAAAGTCCAATGTCAAGTGTGGATCATCTTTATTCGGTACCGGATTTTTCAGAGTACTGAGTCCAATGTCACCTATGTTATGACGACCACCACTCTGATCTGCACTGCCAGTATCATCACCATGCTTAGTACCATCTATGCCAGTATGTTTCAACTGGTCTGTCTCAATTACACTATCATTATCACCATAGCTTGCAACTTTACTACCAAATGGCGTCATTTCACCCAAACGTACAAGTCTCTCGATTTCAGTTTCTTGATGAGTTTCAGAATGAAGAACTTTGTCCAACGAGTTTTCTTCTGATGTGCCATCCAAGACTGTATGTTCCGTCTCCATTTCATGATTTTCATCCTCACATGAATCTAAAACAATACCAACAAGATTTATCCATAACATTTGTCAAGGTAAACTACAGTATTTACACTGGATAGCTCTAGATGTTAGTTCCAAACTGTTCTCCCTAGAGGTCCAGTAAGATCATCTCTTATTGATCCAGTGTTACTACAGGAGGAAACCTAAACTAACTTTATTTATACTGGATAGCTCTATCAGTTCTAAACTGTTCTCCCTAGAGGTCCAGTAAGGATCATCTCTTATTGATCCAGTATTACTACAGGAGAAAACCTAAACTAAACTAACTTTATTTATACTGGATAGCCCTATCAGTTCTAAACTGTTCTACCTAGAGGTCCAGTGAAAACCATCGCATGACCATCTAACCTTTTTGTTTATCAAGTTCCTGTAATCTTTGCAGAATATGATCCTTCTGTTCTCTAAGTCTCTCAAGATCATTCAGCTTCAAAATGAAAAGACAAAGTGAACTGAAGATTTTAATAAAATACTGAAATCATTTTAAACTTTAAAGGATTGAAGTATTCTACTTACAATTAATTCTCTTGCAGGTTGTTTTAGTCCAGGTCTTTGGAGCTTTTGCTTGACATTTCTACAGTTAGAAAATATAGAATCACCATCACACTATCACCACTACTATGTATACCACCACTATCATCATCATCAGCAACACCATAATTATCATCATCACCACCAATCATCATTACTGTCACCATCATCGGCCTTTAAAAATTTCAGGCGAGAAGTAAAGCGACGTATAAGATTTTCGGAGAGAGAATATGTAAGAGAACAGATTAAAAGTAACAGAAACAACACCAACTCCATATGGAAATCTATACGATCGTGTATACCGAAAAAATCAGCCACTCATAAAGTCTATAGTAAGGATCATAAAACTGTTGCTGATGAATTTAATGAATTCTTTGCCAGTATTGGTCAAAATACGGTTAAAAAAATTGAAAAAATGGCCGCTGATGAAAATTATGACCTAAATGAAAACCCTTTTAAACCAAGACATTATTTACCATCTGAACAATTTTCCTTTACCGCTGTTGAACGTGAAGAAGTTGAATCTATTGTTATGTCTATGGCACCAAACAAAGCTCCTGGGAATGATAAAGTTCCGATACATGTAATCAAAACTTGCTTGACTGTAATTTCACCTACCATCACTTCAATTATCAATGCTTCACTATTAACCTCTAGTTTTCCGAGCGTATGGAAAAACGCTGAAGTTGTTCCTATCCACAAGGGTGGTGATCATGAGATCGCAAATAATAATAGACCTATATCGTTATTGCCAGTGCTATCAAAGATCTGCGAACGAGCAGCTTATAATCAGTTTTCGACCTACCTTCTCTTGAATGATCGTTTATCGTCTAAACAAAGTGGAAACAAGCATCTACACTCAACAGAAACCTCGGTAATTCAGACTACAGACATGATCCTGAATGCCATTGACAAGAAACAGCTAACTGCGATTGTATTACTCGACATGAGCAAAGCATTCGATAGCATAGATACCACGACTCTGATTACTAAGTTAGAAGATGTTGGCGCGTCTTGTCAGGCGATTCAATGGTTCCAAAGCTACCTAACATCCAGGTATCAAGTAGTAAGAATACAAACAACCTTATCCGACCCTTTAGAGGTAAAGAGTGGAGTACATCAGGGAAGTATACTTGGGCCACTTCTGTTTAGTATTTATGTGAACGATTTGCCATCAGTTCCACAACAATGTTCTCCCTATTCCTATGTCGATGACACAAAACTCCTAATGTCGTTTTCTCTGCAACACCAACAAAGAGCTGTCTCAGAAATAAATCAAGATCTCTTGAGAATACGTAATTGGTGTTTTGATAACAAGTTACTGTTAAACCCAGGAAAAACTAAGGCCATGATATGCGGTAGCAGACAGATGAGAGCAAAACTTCCTAATTTTCGCCTCTCACTTCTCGGTAAAGAAATCATTGTAACAAGCGCCAAAGATCTCGGCGTAATCTTGGACTCTGGTATGACGTTCGACAGCCATGTACAAGCCACTATCTCCTCATGTATGTCTCGTTTAGGTCAAATAAACCGTGTGAAACATTGCTTTGACAAACACACATTAACAATTATTATTAACTCTCTAGGTTTTTCAAAATTATATTATTGCTCTACAGTCTGGAGCAACACTTCTCAAACAAATTTAAATAAGGTACAGGTAGTGCAGAACTTTGCATGTCGAATAGTTAGCGGAGTTGGCAAATACGATCATGTCACACCAATCCTGCAAGAACTAAAGTGGCTTCCTGTTCGACAGTATTTATATTTTTGTGATGCAGTCATGGCATTTAAATGCATGACAGGAAACGCACCTGCATACCTAACTGAACAGTTTGTGAGACGAGGTGACATTTCATCTCGCGTTACTAGGAACTCGAGCATGATTGAAACTCCTTTACACAGAACAGCAACCGGGCAACGATCTTTCAAATTCAGAATGGCCACAACTTGGAATTCCTTAAAACCAGAACTTAGGGCCTGCGAAACAACGAAAGACTTTAAACATATTTTAAAACAGAGACTTGTAGAAACATTTAAATTTAGGACCAATCTTAAGACATTTTGATGTAAATAGCATATATATTTGTGTAGTACTACCAAGTGTGTGTGTGTGTGTTTGTGTGTTGTGTGACTGTGTGTTGTTATGTGTGTCTCTCTATTATTACAGTGTATAAAAATTTAGATCAATTATGTAAAATTTCGCTGAAAAGCCTTTTAAGGGATGTGAAATTAAAATACAATAACAATAATCATCAATTGTACCACCATCACCATCATTATCACCACCAATCATACCATCATCACCACCACCACCACCATCAATTGTACCACCATCAGTCCATCACCATCATCACCACCAATCATCATTACTGTCACCATCATCAATTGTACCACCATCACCATCATTATCACCACCAATCATACCATCATCACCACCACCACCATCATCAATTGTACCACCATCAGTCCATCATCATCACTAATCATAACATCATCACCACCATCATCAATTGTACCACCATCAGTCCATCATCATCACTAATCATAACATCATCACCACCATCATCAATTGTACCACCATCAGTCCATCATCATCACCAATCATAACATCATCACCACCATCATCAATTGTACCACCATCAGTCCATCATCATCACCAATCATGGGAAACGACAAAATGCGGACCCCAGGTCCATGGACTACACTCGTGGACCACGGACCACTCCCGTGGACCACTCTCGTGGACCACTTGCAAAATTTCGCCTACCGAACAATAGACCAAGCACTATTATTCCGAGTTTAGGGAGCCGAGATTGGCGGGAACTATTTCATTATTCATTTCCATTATTTATTTCACAATCATTCAGTTTTTGTTGATGAACAGTGAATACTAAGTCTGTAAAAATGCTGAAAAAATGTAGTCAGGGTTCCATTAAAAAATATAGGAATACTGTGGAGAATCTGGAGGGGAGGGGAGGAGGGGTCAAAGGATTTTACTGAATTATTCGAATTTTACTGTTAAAAAATCACTTGAACTGTAGAAGTCGTAAGTTGCAATGACCTTTCAATGCCTGAAGGTCCTCTCCCAAAAATATTAATTTTTGAAGCTCGATTACTGCTTTTCTTGCATTTCCTGTAGCGATCGAGAAAAAAAACTACCAATTTTAATTGCATATATTCGGAAACTTTGCATTAAAGTCGTAATTGCACACTTACATTTTAGAACGGTCATGTAGTGAATGGATTTAGAACTTCACATTTTGTGTAAAGTTTCCACAATGATAATAATGACTGAACTCGACTCGAGCACATTTTTGCATGCACAGTCAAGAATTCAAACCCCAAAAATCTGGTGTGTCGCAAGTGGTCCATGAGAGTGGTCCACGAAGGTAGTCCACGGACCAGGTCCACGAAGGTAGTCCACGGACCTGGGGTCCGCGTTTTGTCGTTTCCCACCAATCATACCATCATCACCACCATCATCAATTGTACCACCATCAGTCCATCATCATCACCATCAATCATACCACCATCATAACCACCGTTGCTACCACCACCACCACTATGACCAACACAATTAATATCACAATAAAAATATACTATCGAATGGTCGTGGTGCCAGTGTAGGTAGCGACAATAATAACAAGCAATGAGAGAGAGAGATAAGCTACTTGACAAATATATGCATAACTTTGACATTTCAAGCGAGTTGAAGTTTTGTTTACATTTTTCATGCAATTGAATCTCTTACTAACCTCAATTCGTCTTCAACTGACTTCAATTCCTTACTCAACCTTTCTCTCTCCAGAAATTCCTCCTGTTCAGCAATAGCTTGATCAACTTGCTGTAAAACCCCTTCCTCGAACACATCTTGGTCAAAAACATTCACTCCTAAGGCTCGCAAGGTCTCGGGTTGCTCTTCGAAAGCGACTTCGTGAATTTTACTCGAGTCAATCGAAATTCCGTAACTTTTGACAACATTTTGACGCGGGGAAAACGCTGCTTCGCTTCCAACACAGCTCGTAGAAGGGCCACTGTCATCAAACATTGTGGAAATAAAAAATTTCGCAAACAACTACATTTCTAAATAGGTTTTTTTGACGCAGAAGAGATCGTTTTGTTAAAATCAGCAAAATGCAAATTTTTTCCGCCATGATGCAATCACTGAACTATATAACAGTATCACAGAATAGGAAGTTATACCTGAAGCGTAACTCGAGCAAATATTTGTCCGCGTTTTTACAAGCGATTCGTCATCAATCACGCCATCCTGGCTAGTACAACCGGCACTTTGTACCTACCAAATCCCAGTGAACTCTATATATATATATATATCTATATATAGAGTTCACTGCCAAATCCTGATAAAAACTTCCGGCTGTACTAGCCAGGATGGCGTGGCCTGACGTGAGCGAGTTAAAATTTTCGTGGACGTCAAACAATAAGGGAAACGACTAGAGTTACGCTTCTGGTATAACTTCCTATTCTGTGACAGTATGTAGTTCACTGGATGCAATCCACTGAGCTGTATAATAACTGGAGGACCTGCTCCTATACTTCGTTCAGTCAACGAAGTGTCCGCAAAAACATGGCGGATTTTGATGAAAAATGACGCCATTTCCATGACAACACTTACTTTATTCTCATAGTAGTTACCACTGACCAGGCTCAATTCTGAGCCCACGGCAATTTTCACCCCCCCTGGTTTTTGCAAAACAGTTTTGCAGATAATATAGTTCTCGACTTCTCGTTGTTTTGAATCCTTTTTTAAAATGTTTTCGAGTTAAACTTTCTGCCTTTGACCATTTGGTCAAAGATATCCAAGTCGTATGTGTTTAATCTCGCCCGTGAAAGACTACAAACCAATTTTAAAAACTCGAGAAATGTGGGAAAAGACGATACTTGAAATATATGGATTTACACTCGGATTTACAAAGGTAAAAACGTATTTTCATATTCAATTTTATTTAGACTTTTATATCTTATTTGACATCTATTATCAGACTATTTTTAAAAGAGGGAATTAGGTTTTGTGTTATGCACCACTTATGTATAAGCTGGGGGTGCTGGAAGCTGATCTCCAGGTGATCTTGTGTTCGTATTTTAGCCAATCAGCGCTCAGAAAGGGTTGTCCGAATAGAAATCCATTTTGATGTATTCAGTCAATTATATCTTTCGTTATTCTTTATGAAACTAGTTGAAATTTTGTCATTATGTTTGGTTACGAGAACTATAGCTCTGACAAAAATATGGAATCGAAATAAAGTATATTACAGGAGATATTCAGTTGTTTTAATCATAAAATGGATTTCTATTTGACAACTAGTGCCAGTACTTTTCCACGTATCAAGATCATCTGGCTGGGAAGGTAGTTTCTACCTAGCTTTCTTGCATGGTTGGGGATACTTCTTGATTTTTGTGTCATATAAATAGTTAGAGGCTTGAGATAAATCACACTTCTCCTAAGCTGAGGTAATAAGGTTTACGGCTGAGGTATGTGCCAAGGCATACATGTGTGTTCACACCTCATTCCCAGGATGGCCTGTTTTCTTACAAGTTTTCTCAGTAAATATCACTCTGGATAAATAATGTACTTAGTACACTCATAGTTCTGATACCCCTGATTTAAGCTGAGGAGTATGTTAGGTCACATTCTTTTGTTTACCTTGATCATATGCTATAATTATGTTACTGGTGGATTCTTGTACAACCTGTATAATTAATCTATTTTTTATTGCAGATTTATTCCACAATGACACACTCCTTTCTGGGTGGCAAAATACAGTACCAAGCCACATCTTTGGAAACTGAACATACTGTATTTTACATGCTTCCAGAAATTATGTCACCTTGTGACCTTGGCTATAGGCTATAGAGTCATTTTCATGATTGAGACATTGGACTAAGACTACGTGCACACGGTAACGTTTTCGAGCGTTTTCATTTGCGTTTTCACGCTAAAACGGATGCGAAAACTATTAATTTACGACTGAAGCTGTAGTTTATTTAATATATTGGAGATATTTTCCTTTGAACCACGTGAACAGGGCATCAAAGCGATTAAAGGGACAAAAACGTTTTTGAAAACGCTCGAAAACGACGCCCGTGTGCACATAGCCTAAAACTCATGCCACATACATGAAAACAAGGCTCCATAGCCAAAGTGACATACATTCTGGATTCTGCAAGGGTGTAAGGTGTATTTGACTTTTTGTAAAATTGTTAGCAGTAAACAACTTAAAAAACAAAATGTATAATTTTAATTGCTATAAAACTTATTTACACTTCAATAAAGTTATGATAATCATATAATTATTTATTAATTATAATTAATTGTTATGCATGGTATTATAATTATAACTTCATTTTGTAATTGTTCTGCATGTTCTTCTGCATGTTGATGCCTGTGCCATCTCTTTTGTGTATTAAACAGGTCATTTCTACAAAATAAAAGACAACATTATTATCATGATACATTATACATCTTTACACCACAAAATATCATGTACACATATGTTAACCCTTCAAGTGACAATGTGTTTTAATGTGCCTCACTGTATTATTTTTGCCTTACTGTCAGACAATTTTACTAGTCAAGGGGAGAGTGCAATTACATGATCTGTTTTTACCAAGATCATTAATCTGAGCTTCTAAATTAAGTATCATGTTTTCATATTCAGAAATGCAATTACATTCCCAACTAACTGCTAAAATATGTCAAACTATTATTAGCAAATTTTGTCATAATTTCTCACAGAGCAATCGCACATCACCACCTCCAATGTTAGAAATGCATGGTAAAATGTTATCTATTTTTTAAGACTCTTCCCTTGATGAGTAAAACAACTGGATTTAGTCTCACCGATAGAGTAAAATAAAATGGGGACCATGGAGCCTGTTTAAAAGTGTGGGGGGGGGGGGCAGGATAGCATGGGTTGGGAGCTATTTCACATAGGCAGGCTGTCCAGATTTTATCCAGTAAGAAGTGGGGGGGGGGGGCATGGCCCCCCTGTTCTGCAGTCCCAGTAAGAAAGTAGCTGGTTCATTTGAGTACATTGCAGCTTAATGGGCTGACTATATATCTCAGGGGCTGCTGATTGGCAGATAATGTATTAAATTAACCCACTGCGAGGCAGCAGTGAGCAGTCTCCTCTTAATGTCATCTGGCATTAGACAAACAGAATAAAATAATAAAGACAGTCTTTTATATAGGGCTCATCAGGACAGGGCACATTGTCACATGTACAGTAAGTGGGCCTCCTCTACTCATTAAGTCTCTCTGGTCTTGTGCTTTTCTATATATA